GTGTCGCGGGAAAGCTGCTTCCGTCGCGCGGGGTCGAGCGACGACGTCGGGAACGGCGCACAGCCTCCGATCGCCTCAAGGGCGCCAAGTTCCGCATGCTCAACGAGCTGGTGTGTGTGTGTGTGTGTGTATGTGTGTGTGTGTGTGCGTGCGTGTGCGTGTGTGTGTGTGTGTGTGTGCGTGTGCGTGTGTGTGTGTGTGTGTGTGTGTGTGTGTGTGTGTGTGTGTGTGTGTGTGTGTGTGTGTGTGTGTGTGTGTGTGTGTGCGTGCAGTGCAGTCGGTTTGGCGAACATTCCCGCTTCCCCACACGAGTTCGTCGCATGCCCTCACCTGTTCCTGTTTCCTTGACCTCCTTATTGCAAGTGGCCCGTGAACCCACTCGAGTACGTCATCCTTGAGAGCGTACGCTCGCGTTTATATCTGTGCAGATGCGCATCACCTCACCTGCGCAGCTACATGAATCCTGCAGTGACACGAACTCCATTGCACTCGCTTCTGCTTGCTCCCTCCTCGAATTCGCATCCCGCCATCACAACATGCTCAAAGCCACTCGCCTGCTGTACCTGCTGTAACTGCAGTGACATTATTGCGTATGTGAAACGTCGCCCCCGCTCCGCCGTTGTTGCAGACTTTGGCTGTGGCGAAGCAAGGCTGTCGCAAAGGTATGCGCTTGTGTGCTTTGTGCTTGCACTCCCGTGCCCTGCTTGCGGTGTTTTGTGTCGGATGGCCGCATGAGTTGTCGTGTTGCTACAGCAACAGCGACGGCAACAGCAGCAACAGCAGCAGCAGCATTGCAAGCATTTCTGCGATGCACGCAATTCACATTGCCCTGCATCGCCACCTTGCTCGTCGACACATCGTTTGCTACTGCCCACAGTGTGCCCAACGTTGTGCATTCCTTTGACTTGGTCGCGTGCAACGAAAACGGTGAGGGTCCCTGTTGGCGCTTGGTACCCTCTTGTGACGTTGATGCCACAACAATGCTTTCCCGCCTTGCTCGGCTGCTGTGCCCTCCTCCCACCACCATGTGCTCAATTGGTCTTCAATAACGCCATCCTTACATCCGAATGCGTGCCATCCCGCTCACATGCCCACCCCCAATCCCGCGTACACGCGCCAGTGACTGCATGTGACATTGCAAATGTGCCTCTGGAGGATGAGACTGTGGACATTGCCGTGTTCTGCTTGGTGCGTCCGCCAGCGTCACGTTGTTCCTGCTCAAGATTGAACACACACACACACACACACACACACACACACACACACACACACACACACACACACACACACACACACACACATGCCGGGTTTGTTGTGTCTTTGTCCATGTGCATTTGCGTGAACGTCTCGTACTCACGCCCATGCGTCATGGCTACTTGTGGCTGTGGATTTGTCCAGGCGTTGATGGGCACAAACTATCCCGATTACTTGGCTGAAGCCCATCGTGTCTTGCGGCTCAACGGAACCCTCAAGATTGCAGAGGTGCGTGCATGTGTGGCGTGCCTGTGTGCGTGCATGTGTATGTGTGTTTGGTTGGCAACATGACGCTTGTTTTGATTGTGTTCACCCACAAAAAAAAATCTGTCCACGTGTGTGCGTGTGTGTGCAGGTGAAATCAAGGATCTTGAAGACAGACGACTTTATCGGCATTGTGTCGAGGCTTGGCTTTGAGTTTGTCAGCATGGTGTGTTTGCTGCAGGAGAAGAGGCGTGTGCTGCTGCGTAGTGTGATGAGCGTTGCTTCGTCCCTGGCCCTCGCATGACCATATCGTGTGTCCAACACACACACGCACACATGCACGCACGCACACACACACACACACACACACACACACACACACACACACACTGCAGGATGATTCAAACAAGATGTTTGTGTCGTTTGAGTTTACCAAGAGCACGCGCAAGCGGGGCAGCGTTCCGCCCAAGATGGCAGCGGCCACACTCCAGCCATGCATCTACAAGCGGAGGTGACACGACATGACAACTCACCCAGCATCCGTCATCGCCACTGCTACCACCAGGACACAAACCCACCGCCTATTACCATCTTGACACACAGCACACGTGGTATCTGACACACACACACACACACACACACACACTCTCTCTCTCTCTCTCTCTCTCTCTCTCTCTATCTGTCGGTGTGTGGTGCTGAACACACGACAGTCATGTCACCAACCAATAAAAATGCAAGCGTGCTGGATGCTGTCATTTCTGTTTATACAACACATGTACCGCTCAACAGAAACAAAGCAAAGCACGTGATGGTGTACGCAGAGTTGGAGAAAGATGGGAGGTGGCGTTGCAACGCGGTGGATGCAGACAGAATGGGGGCAAGAGAGGAAAAGAGTGGTGGGAGATGGGGTGCTAGAGAGCGAAGTTTAGATAAACTCCTCGTCATCGAGCATATCCTCTTCCTGCTCCTCTTCATCGCCTTCATCGCCTTCCTCGCCCTCAAGCTCTTCTTCATCGTTCTCGGGGATGGCAATGATCTTGAGAATCTCCTACACAGCCGCCCCATCAAATGCCAAGATCAGAAACCACACACAACACGCGTGAGAAGACAGTCGTTGCAGAATACAGAAAGCGACAAGAAGCGCGTGTGGGTGGGAGACGGGGGTTGACTTCAGTTGAAACATACACAACACACACACACACAACCTAACTCCAGCCGAACCTTGAGGGGATCCTTGAAGATGAGGTAGTCGCCGTCCTCTTGGTCAAGAAGGAGATCAACGAGCGAACGGACGATGCCCCAGCCGTTTTGCATGTTGATGGCAAGCTGCTTGGCAAGCTTGGCCGTGGCATGTGGCTGCACCGTCAGAATCTCGTGCTTGGTCGCAGAGTTGGGCGATGCGCGCGACACGAACCTGGCCACATTCAAACAAAGACACGAAATGACAAGGGAACAGATACAGAACATTGACGCAGATGCATGCGTGAGTACACGTGCGAGAATGACATGCCACCTCCACACATCGCAAGGGTTTCAGGTGCAGCCACACACACACGCACACACACACACATACACTTGCCGCGAGTACTGACCCCATCTTCAGCTCCCTGTTGCCAGCAAGCATTGCCTGCACAACCCAGCGGGAGATCTTGCACGAGTTGTCCTTCAGCGCGGCAGCCCACACAGCGCCCTTCTGCGCTCAGCAAACCCCCCCCCAACAGTCGAGCAGCGCAGTTTGGGCGGCATATCAGTCAGCATCAACCAACACCACGAGCAGCAATTGGTCACTCTTTACCATGCTCAACACCACAAGCACTGATTCTGTACGGGCGCGCGTGTGTGAACAACGCCATCAGCAAGCCAGCCACGATGTGATCACAATTACACTTGACAAACGCAACACCTTAGACGGACCTGGCTCTCGAGCCGCGATCGCCAGCCGTTCTGGCGCAGGTCAGGGTACCACTCGTTGATGGAGCAGAGGGAGGCAAAGTACTTGGCGGTCTTGCCCTTGACGAGCGCGTCGTGCGTGCAGCGAACAAGCATGGTGACGTCGTCCTCAAGATCCCAGAGACGATACCGGTAGCCGACCTTGTGCCGCGCTGCGTTGGTGGGGTCTGGGTTGCCCATGGACACCGTCTCCTTAGACCAGCACTGCTCTTGGAAGTGCTGGTTGACAAAGGTGGCCTCGCGGTTGAGGTTGAGCTGGTGGTTCGGGTGGCGCGGGTCAGTCGAGAAGTGCGGGTTGGGCCCGTTCTCGTTCACAGTCAAGTAGTCTGTTGATGGCCATCATGGACAGGGAGGCAGAGGGCGGGAAAGTCAACGTGAGCACATACACAAAAGGTCGGCAAGTAGGACAAGTGAGAGGCTGCATCGTGCAGCAATAACAGCAGAAGTGGCAGCACCACCAGCACCACCAACAGCACCAGGAACAACAACAACAACAACAGCTGCTACATTCGGCACAGACGCGAGCGGTGACCCGCATAGTGTCAGTGAAGTGGGAAGAGCACATGGACAACAACGTACCGAGGCGGGACTTCTCGCGCTTGTCAAAGACGAGACGCTCGCCCTCCTTGTGCACAATCACGTCCCAGGAGTAGAACGAACGGGCAGCAACCATGATTGCAGCAAGAATGTCGTCCGTGATAAAAACGGATGCGGCGTCCTTTTCCATAAACTACACGCGCGCAAGGACAAGAGAGAGGCAAGTTGGAGAGCCAATCCAGGCGTGTGGTGGGCTGAAGAGAAGAGGGAAAGGGAAGAAGGCGCATGAAGATCGGCACAACACAAGCCAGCATGAACCGCAGCACTCGCAGGCAGTCGCACACGCACCGTCTTCATGACGGGGTCTGCAGACGTTGTGAGAGCAACGTGGCGAGATGATCGTGCGGGAATGTGAAGACGCCTGAAACCGTAAGAAAACACACAAGGAGTATCGACGAGCGGGAGAGAAAGAGAGTGCGTGTGAGACGGGGATTACAAAAGCCAGGGAAGGATGTGTCCGTGATATTGCCCAGCTTCGCGCATGCGTGCAGCGCCCATTGCGCACACAACATCAACGTGGACCAGACACACACACACACAAGGAAAACAAACAAAATAATACCACACGTCACACATCACACACACACACGACTGACTTTGCGGTCTTGGGGCGAATGGTGTTGAGGCCAGGGTTGTACACGTGGACGTCGCCCGCCAAATGAAGATCCTTCGGAGGCTCGACCTCGAGGAAAGGCTTGGCCAGCTTGGAGAACTCGAGCTCGCGAATGATGTCCCAGTGCGCCTTGATCTCTGTAGAGGGGCCCAGGCTGCGGTGTTGGTAGCGCTCGCCACGCCGCTTGGCGGCCGCGTTCCACTTGGCGCGAAGCTGACGCTCCTGGCGTTGACGATCGCGCATGATGTTCTTGTTGCGGGACATGGGCTGCTGTTGTGGTGTGGGCTTCTTCTCAACACGGCGCTGTGGACGGCGCTGTGTGTGTGTGTGCGCGCGCATGGGCGACAAGGGGGTAAGCGGTGCTCAATATAAGGCACACGGCAAGCAAGGGGTGGGTGTGGGCTGGTGCGGACGTGGGTAAATAGCGGTGTTGTTGGTGTGCTCAGTGCTTGTGGTGAGGTCCGTTGAAATGAGGAAGGAAAAGATGAGCGATGAAGAGTAAGATGAAGGAGTAAGGAGGAAAGAAATGTCGTGCTAGCATGACTCTGAATGCAATCGAGCAAACACGCAGTAAACGTGATGCCCAAACCGGCCGCAAAAAAGCGACGCGAATTACATGGGCGCGAGAGCAGTCCTAAGGGACACGCACAGGCGCGGAGGCTGGGGGCTTTCACCGTGCATACGCACGACAAAACAGGACACTTTGAAGTTAGGGAAGGCGAGTCTGCAAGCAGACAGCCGTGCCCCCTTTTCGAAAGCGCTGCTGTTGCTTATCGAGACAGAACGTCAAGACAGGCGCCAGACCCACGCAGCCGACCCGCGTTTCGTTTGTCTCTCAAGGAAGCGAGTTGACCGTGTGTTGGTCTCAGTGCCGAGGGCTTTGAATGAAACAAACAAAGCAAGCGGCCATGATCGCATAAGGATCACTCAACCACACAACTCTCCTTGATTTCTTGTGTTCAAAAGGTGGTAGGAAGGAAGGAAGGGAGGAACGAGAATTGGGGGGGGGGCGAAAAAGAAGGACAATGGGGAGGGCAAAGTAAAAACAAGACACGAGAGGAGAAGGAAGCTGGGAGTGGGGATTGCCAGCAAGGCATGTGAGCTGTGTGTGTGTGTGTGTGTTAATGAGAAGTTGTCGGGTGACATGGTGGTTGAGGGACGTACGTGAATGCGACGACGGGTCGTTTGGGGCTTGGCAGTGTCCACGAGGGTAAAGTCCTTGGTGGTCTCATGTTCGAACACAAAGCTGGAGCCTGCGGCTGCCTTTGCCGCGCGCTGTGCACGCTCCACACGCTCTAAATAAACCCAAATGTTGCATCGAAAAAGGTGGGAGAGTGTACACGGAATGATGATGAAGTGAGTGACGGTGGTGGTGGTGGTGGTGGTGGTGGTGGTGGTGGTGTAATGGTCACATGTGTGCGTACATGTGCGTAAATGCGCGGTCATGTGCTTTGTGTGTGTGTGTGTGTGTGTGTGTGTGTGTGTGTGTGTGTGTGTGTGCACGAAGAGAAGGAGGTGGACAC